TAGAGCTGGATCAATGCATATGAGTGGGTGCAGCATAAATGAGTTTGATCTCGTGCTGGTGCTTAGAGGTGCCAATGGTATTTGAAAATTCGAGATTTAATAATAAATGAATCGAATTCAAATATGACCTGATTCGATTCGATCAATACCCAAATTCGATTGAATATTTAATTGTTATATATAATATATAAAATATTTACATAAATTTTATATATAATATTTAAATTATATAAATAATTTATATATTTGTATATTTTATATAAATAAAATATTTATTAATTACCTTAAATAATTAAGCGATCGAAATTGAATCTAATATTTGAATATTTAATCAAATTCGAATGTTGATTTTCAATATCTATCGAATATCAAATTGAATTCGGATATCAGATTTTCTAATCGGATTCGAATTGAGATGTTGCATGATTTGATTCGAATCCGATCCATTTACACCCTTAGTAGTGCCTCTTCTTTTAGAGGGATGCTGAGTGACCATTCAAGGTAACTGTCAGGCTCGCTTGGTTCGCGGAAATAGGGGTTTAGAATGGGTCATTCTGATTCCAACTATTTGATTAGAAGAAATGGAATCCGTTCCACTCCTAATGGAATGACATTCTCCCATTTGAGGGAATAGTCATTCCCTACCCCTCACTTGGGAATGAAATCCCTTTCCAGATGACTCCAATTTTCATCCCATTCCTGTCTAAACGAAACAAACTATGGGAACGATTCCTATGCTAATTTCAACTAGAAACCAAACAAACTCTTAGTTCATCGGCAATGAGATAGATTTATACATAAAGTAAAGTAATGAAATGCAACCATCATAGTAAGCATTACTATAAAGTTGTAGTCTTGTGATTCTTATTGCCTAGATGGACACCTCATCACACCTAGACGGAGACCTGGTCACTAGACTAGCCAGACACCTTCCTTATATAGGTCATGGTGTTCAGACTAGGCATTCCACTAAGGGGCCTTACTGCCCAAGCAATGCCTTGACAACTATAATGATATTTTATGTAGTCTAGAATATATTTTCATGTGCTATTGGGTCAGCCCAATGGTTGAACCATTTGAAAAAGTTACACAATGTCAACTTTGCAAATGACTTTAATCTGACAACAAACACCATATCAAAGAAGTACTTTTAAGACTCCAAACTGCAGCTATGTGTGTGTTTTGGATGATGATCTCTCATCCCTCAGATGTGTAATATTATGATGTGTAAGCCTGTAGCTACTTCTATTCACTACTTCCATCAAATATCTTCCATGCATAAACATTTTACTGATACTCAAATATTGCTTTTGCTTTTGCTTTTGAACGAACTTGTCTCCCACAAGTCTGTAGGGACATTTGGATGAGAGTGACGCAATGAAGCCTCTTTCTGTGTCACCTCCCACCACCTTCTTTTCCTGTAGTTGAAGAAAAACATTCCAGAGGGAACAAACTTTCCTCTCCAACTATCACATTATATAAAGCGATTACACCAATACATACTTGTGTAGATCTGCCACCTATCAGTTGGGCCATGGCGTACAGAAATTAACAATTGATGATTTTGGCTTTTTCAGTTGTTCATGGCGGATCCCAGGTGGTACAGACTCATCAAAAGTATTGCTGTCTGATTTCTGAAGCCTGAACTAGTGGGACACACGTTCCACACGGATTGCAGGGTTTCACTGTTTATTAATTAGAATGGTGTAAGCTAGCCCTTGAATTTTTGGATGAGAACCAGATAAGTGATGTCATGTGACCCTCTTAATTAATGGATGATCTGAGGGAATTGAATCTGATCCCATTGTAGAACAGGTAAAATTTTCAAAATTGAAATCCAATCCTATGATATAAATTTATAAATCATCCAAACCTGAAACAATGGAATTTGGATTGGGTTTCAGATTCCATTGACAGCCCTATGCATGTGCATGTGAAGACTGACCCTAGTCACTATAAATATAGTAAAGGTTCTTACCATTGGGGGAGAGCCTCGGCCACTAGTCAAAATTATAGGAACCCCTCAAATCACTCACCAACTTCGTTTACATTAATCTCTCTCTCTCTAATAATTTGGAGATTGACTTCTCTCAATTGATGAAATCGCTTACCAAACCTCCCAAAAATCACTCACCTACTTATTTTTATAATATCTCTCTCTCTCTCTGAAAATTGATAACTGTATATACAATCGAATCCTAACTGGTGCAGTACCAACTTAGGTTTGTACACTAGCTACCTCATAAGCTAAAAAGTTAAATATTAAGACAATCCACCCTTGTTCTCTAATGCTCCATACATTGCCAACCTGTCTTGATTTTAAGTTGAAATATTCAGATTTGTCATATACAGGGGTGGTCATGAGCTGAGCTTTTTACAAGTTATTCAAGTTTGGCTCATGAAAAGCTCGACTTGTTTGTTTATTGAACTGAGTTCGAGCCCAATCAAATTTGACTTGTGAGGCTCGTGAGCCCAGTATAATAAATAAATAATTTTTTATTATATATAAACACATGCATACATGTACATATAAATATATAAATATATTTAAAATAAATAATTTTTATTATATATATAATGTTTTTTATTTTTTATGTATAATAGTAAATAATTTTTATAACTCTTATTTTGTGTATGTAAAATAAAAACACTTTTTTATATGTATATTTTTTATTTTTTATATGTATAATAATAAATAATTTTTACAATTCTTATTTTGTTGTATGTAAAATAAAAAAATATTTTTATATGTATAATTTTTATTTTTTAGAAAAAAAAACTTGGTTTTGTAGTCGAGCCCGAACCGAGCTTGAATAACCAAGTATTTGACTTGACTCTGCTAGACCCCTGGTCATATAATTGAATAGAAAATCTCTTTCTCTCTTTCTCTCTCTCTATATATGTGTATGTGTGCCCATGAATCTAAGCTACTTGCCATGCATCTTTCATCCAAGTATTTTCATGAATGAATTCTTCCGACACTGTTGTAATTAGTTTCTACATTGAGTTGGATTGCATTTAGAATATGTGCTTCTAAAGACAGCACAAAGCTCCAATTTTAGGCTCTGTGCATTGGAGCTTAATAATATTTTGACCTTAGGTTATAATGTTTTTAAAATTATTCTTACCAAACACTCGAAACACTTTTGCCTCAATTTTTTATTTTACAGCGCAAAGATCAAGGCTAAAATTTATCCAAACAGACCATGCATATAGTTAAATTATTTCCTCCATTGCTTTCAGCTAAGACAACTGAACCATTGGATTAGTAAGCCAAGCAATAGCCTTCTTCCAATCAAATAAGTCACATGGTTTTAAATGTCTGTTAAATTTGAGTTTTAGGGACTCTAACCAAACGATGCATTATAAATGTTGGATTGATTTATTTTGGAAAAAACTACAATTTTTTTTTTTCAGAAATTTAGGATTTAAGCCATATACTTAATTCTTACTAGGAAAATTGGATATTATATTAAAATTAAAGTCTTTAGAGAATGAACCAAGGATATTATATTAACATAATGAATAAGAACAATATAAATAAATAAATAGAATGTTTTTTTGCTCCAAAAGTTACTATTCTTTTTTCTCTGAAACCAAAATGTTAAAAATTTTCGAAATTTAGAACCATGACTAGTTAGTGTGGATGAGAGATATGGCAAAAAAGAAAAAAAAAACAATATATTCAGATAATAACGAGTTCGACTATGCTATGAAAAAGAAAAACAATTCATCAATAAATTAGAATCATAAACGTGTTAGCAAAATCATGTGTTATTTATCAAAATTAACATGAACAATTGGGTCGCCTTTTGGAGCATCCGGACCTACACCATACCCGATGGGTCTCATCTAATGCAGCATTTTCATCGAAGAAATAAAGTTCATTTTAGAGCTTATAAAGAAGAAGCTATTTGGCACTCGGATAGTCGGATGGTAAAACGTAATTTGATCGCATTGAGTTTGCACCGTTGGCCCCATTTCAATGTGGGTCCCGGTCCTTCATGTATAGACACATCAAAAGATATGGGTACCTGTTGGGTCACGACTCATGAGCTCCAGACCCGACGCAACCCCATGTATATACTTTAATTAATCGAGAGTGACCGACGAGTGACAACATGACCCGAACTGTACATGGGGCCCTCTTAGCTCTTTTCATCTCCATGCCTCGGGTGGGGACTTCGGAGTTCGGGCCCACTATTATTTGGGTCGAACATGGGAAGCTGCCTTCACTAGATATCACCGTGATCTGTGCGGGTTATTGTCCATTAATGAACGGGTTCGACTATGGTACCGGATAAATCGGTCCATTTTATGGTTTGTCCAACCCGGCCGGCTCAGAGAAAGATCATTACAGCGCTGGCATCACATCACAGTAATTCTGTAAATTCCACCAAAACCATATCCCCTTTTAAAGCGGGGGGTAGGGGTAGACCTGCCAGGAGGGCATCATCGTAATATTACATGAAATACCACATCATTACGTTATAAATCTAGCCAATTAATTAAACTGGACGGTCGAGACCAATCTGATTGAGACAGATTTCCATTTTGGTCTAGACTCAACGGGGGAAACCGAATAATTAATTAGATTTTGATTTTCAACTACCGGCAACCGGCAAGCGTCAATCCAACCGGACACAGCCGGTCACCCTCAGTCAACCGAGCCGCCAAATTGTCATGGGATCTCATCTCAGACTCAGAGAGAGAGAGAGGGGGATAATCAATGATAGCCGTCAGATCGGAATAATCTGCAGACTCCCCACAGGTTCGGGCCCCACCTCATCGGCGATGAAGTCAGCAAAACCCCTTTCCTCTGTGAAATCTTTAACGTGGGATGAGAATTGAGAAGCTCGAATGCTCGATTACAGCTGTATTCGATTTCCGGGACCCCTCTCTCCCTCTCTCTGTTCTTCCATTTTTTCTGTTTTTTATTTTTAATTAATTAATTAATAAAAAATTATTTTCTTCTATAATTTTTTGTTATCTCTTCCTTCTTTTATTTCACATTTCAGGCTTTTCTGTCGTTGTCGTCAGTCGTCTCCTTCCTTCTCTCTCTCGCTTACTCGCTTGCTTTCTGCATTCCTCTTTTGTCTTCCGTGAATGCGAAGCTTTGTAGTGTTTCTAGGAGGATTCCGGTGACCGGAGGTACAGTCGGTGTGAGAGAGCCTAGGATTTATCAGTTGGTTTGGGTTGAATTGTTCGAGATCTTCAACTGTTTCTCGGCTCAGATTTTGGCTTTTGTGAGGCTAAACTGTGTCCACGTGAAAGTTGTTCTCTTTTCGATCTTTTAGACTTTAGAGGTTTCTTTTGCAGGATTTAAGCTGCAATTCTATCATCTCCAGTGGATTTTGCCAAAAAAACGCAGTTCTTTTTCTTTCCACTTCCTTAACTGTCTTCCTCGAGAATTGCTTCTTTTCATCGTCTTTTCTTCTTTTCTGGAGGAAGCTTCTGCTGTGTATCTAGCGATTTGAGCTCTAGGTTTTCTAGTTTGCGCCGGGGTGGCGTTGGTGGTGTTGATTAGAGAGAAAGCTTAAGCTTCATGTAAAGGTCCGCCTCTGCTCCTTTACTCTTTATATGTTTTATATAAATTCTTTTCCCTGCTTTCCCCCTTTCATTCTCTCAGTGTACAGTTTATGCATAATGGGTTACTTTAATTATTGCACTTGCCTTTTGCTTTTTATTTTAGCTTTTCTTGATTATTTCTATGCAAGTTGAGTGATTGATGGATGAACTCAGAGAAATTTTGACTAAAAAAATTAAAGAAAAACTGTGTTTTGTCTTCCATGGTGAGTGAGAAACCACTCATTTTGTGCTGCTTTTGATCCCAAATATTCTATACAGAATATAAAAACCAAAAACGAGTTTATTTGCTTCTTCTTGTTATTTACAATTCTTGTGTATCTTCTCTGCAAGCTATGGTTCTAGAATCCCAGATGACAAGAGAACAAGAAGAACATTGGAAAGAAGAAAGTATACAGGAGAAAAATATGACCTATAATAAGCAATAAAAACAATTAAATAGGAAAACATAATTGAATCCTTGAATTACTGAGACCTGGAGCTACAATGTGGTGGGTTTAGACTGCTCCCGTTCGATGGAAAGAAGTGCAGTTGGCAGGCCATGTGACCCCAGAACTTAACAGACCCTAGAACTCCTACCCTCCACCGGGCCCTCACATCGCCTTTCAGATCAAATGATATCTTGTTCCGCTTCAATGACGCATCGACTTCCTCCATCCCCTCCGGGGCTAATGGGATTGACGACGACTGGACGAAGTAAGGAAGATCAAGAGAGCTGTTCTTGGGTACATCAAAGGGGCCAGCTGTCAATTGAGCTATTTTGATCCCATTGAAAGAGAGAAACAAGCTCAAGTCTGAGAAGGTTGCATGAGCCTTGGCGTTGTCATTCTCTGCCTTGATGGTGATACTGATCTGGGTATCCATTTGTCCAGTCTCGTGGTAGCCTAGCTTCTCCATATGAGCTTGTGTGACGCTTATGGAGGGTACCCTTGGTCGGATGATCAAATAGCCGATGAACACAACCAGGCCTGTGACTATCACTGCAATGGCTACAATGGTGCAGATGATGGCAATAAACCAGATAACGGGACTTGTGCGTCTATGCAATAGCTTTCGCTGCTGCATTGGGGAGTGGTGGTGGTGGTGAGAGTCCTGCAAAAGACAACATTCGGGGAGTGTGTAGGTTTTTCAATTTTATGTTGCAGCACCGGATTTAGATCTTGGGAGCTTGGCAAGAGAGTTACCTTGGGTTCTAAATTCTAATTGGTGGGGGAGGTTTTGGTATCTTCCTTGCCTTGTGTGAAAGCGACTGCATTCTTTTATGAGAAAAGGGTCTATTTTAGGAATCTCACTCACTTTATCATGGCGTAAAGAAAATACCAAACTTGCACTGCTATATATAATATACCACTTCTTTCCTTTTTCTTTTCTTCTTTGTATATCTGATTATGTTCTTACCACTTAAGTTGGGTTGTAGAATAAGTAATCTTTCGGTAGATATCTCCATACTCGAGATCTTGTGCACTTCCCATGTTGGGCAAGTGTTCCATCTTCCAATTGGAAAGATTGGGCAGTAGAGACAACTCCTGACAAAAACTTTGATAACAATCAAGAACCAATCAGTTGATTTGGGAAAAAAAACTGAAACATTTTGAGAAAAATGTACAGGTGACAAGAGAGAAATGGATTTACTCCTTGTGTAAACGCAAATCTGTAACATTCTTATACTATTACTGGTAAATGTTGCTCAACGAGCCAAAAGTATTTATACTTTTAAAATTATATGGTTCAATAAATTCAATCCAGAAAATTTATCAAAAAAAAATTCCAATCCAGAAAAGGCAACATTTGGATTGCTTCCAATTTGTAGACCCCGCAGCTAGATCTTTACTTTCTCTTTTAGCATGGAGGGGTGCTTAGAAATGGATTTCTACCTACACAAATGCCGTGCATTTCTTGTGTAATCTTTGATCTTATTTAACAGATTGCTTCCCTTCTCATTGATGGAGAAAGGGCTTTTCTTAGGCACAAAATGGACTCTTATTTATTTTATCTTCTTTTGGATGAAAACTAAAATAAGTAAGATGAAACCGTCAGGTCTTCAAGTCCTGGATGAGCAGCTGAGATGCTTAGTTGGTCCTGATGCACAGCTCGTTCCTCTTCCCCCTGATTGTTAGCTGACTACCTTTGTAGCAGGTCCTCAAGCAATTTAGGGGATAATTTCTTATTAATGGAGAAAGACTTGTGACCTGTATGGATCCCCAAGCTTTTGTGAGGCTGTCAATTGGATCCCTGGGGCTGAGAATCACAGCGTCAGCTGCTAAGGCAGGGCAATCTGGAATCCATGCATCCTCTTCTCCATGTTCATGTGAGATACGTCTACGAGGCTTTCCTGTTCAGACTGCATCAGTTCCGTTAATCTCATCCGCCGAGGCCACACCTGACCCTCATAGCATTGCTACAAGCTTCTATCTTGAAGAATCTGATGTTAGAGCACTGTTAGCACCAGGCTGTTTCCATCCATCTAATGCCTATTTAGAGATTGCTGTTTTTACAGGGTGGCAGGGATTCCATTGTGGTGTCAGCAGCAAGAAGCAGCAGATTGGGACATTTAAGTTGCAGGTCAGTCCTCAGTGGGGGGAAGGGAAGTCATTGTTACTTCACCATGGGTGGACTAGAATTGGGAAAAACAAGCAGGCAGATGGTAAACCAAGAGCCGAGCTGCATCTAAGAGTGAAGTTGGATCCAGATCCCAGATACGTTTTCCAGTTTGAAGATGAGACAACACTGAGCCCCCAAATAGTTCAACTTAGGGGAGCTGTCAAGCAGCCCATTTTCAGTTGCAAGTTCAGTCGTGACAGGAGGTAAGAATTAGCTATTGATCTTTTCCCTTCTCACAAGTAGCATTATCATCAGAAAACATATCAAAATCACCTAATTCAAACTGGGAAGAAGAAACAAATGGCACATAAAAATCCAGATAAGCATATAGAAGTGTCAACTATAATCTGCATAAATTGGTGGTTTCTTCACCAATACCATTACCATCTTCATAATCGGTTCCTCCATCATACTGTCTAAATGGTTATCTAAACTAGGTTATTGAATGTGCTGCTATCATGGGCTTCCCTGGACCATTCAGTATGTTAGAATATTGGTCAATGAGCCAAGTCCTTCAAGTAATTGGGGATTTATATGAGAATATTTTGAAGATTAATTTGTTTGGTTAGTTGTTTTGAGGCCATGGTGGTCGAGGTGGTCCACTAGTTTAATCAATGAATATGTATTGTGAAGGAGCCACCGTTCTTCATGGTGAGAGCACAGATCAGTTGTCACAAGTAGTACATTACCTTGTATTATTGTGCTTTTCTGGACTTTGAACTTTGAAATTTATGCTAATGTAGTCCTTGAAGTTTCACTTTGACAACAGTAACATCACTAATGTCATGGGTCTCAGACGGATTTATGCTTTTCGTTTGTTGTTGAAATAACAGGGCATCTCAGCTGGACCCGATGAGCAATTACTGGTCAAGCACCAGAAATGGGATGGACGAAGAGGCTGAGAGGAGAGAAAGGAAAGGATGGAAGGTGATGATTTATGATCTCTCTGGCTCAGCAGTTGCTGCTGCCTTTATGGCAACCCCCTTTGTACCATCAACCGGCTGCGATCGTGTTGCACGGTCCAACCCTGGGGCCTGGCTAATTGTCCGTCCAGATGCCTGTATGCCCGAGAGCTGGCAACCTTGGGGCAAACTTGAAGCATGGCGTGAGCGAGGAGGCATTAGAGATTCAATATGCTGTCGTTTTCACCTCCTCTCCGAAGGTCAGGAGGGGGGTGGCCTACTTGTCTCGGAGAAATTGATTAGTGCTGACAAAGGTGGGGTGTTTGTCATAGACACAGATAGGCAGACACCGTCGGCAACGCCAGTGCCAAGTCCAAGAAGCAGTGGGGACTTCGCATCCCTGGCACCCATTGTGGGGGGTTTTGTGATGAATTGTAGGGTGCAAGGAGAAGGGAAGAGTAGTAAGCCGTTGGTGCAACTTGCCATGCGGCATGTGACATGTGTTGAGGATGCGGCCATCTTTATGGCGCTCGCCGCAGCTGTCGATCTCAGCGTCGAAGCTTGCAGGCCATTCCGTAGGAAGTCTAAGAGGGGGACCCGCCATCATTTACAATGAAATGAAAGGTGATTCATTCCTATATTTTATTCCCCACATTCTTGCATAAGAACTTGAGTTGCTTGCTTTTAACATAGTTTTGGGACATAGCACCCCATCTTCATCTCTCCATGCCAAGCACTGTCGTTGCGATTTGCAAGGACGTAAGAAAATGCTTTGGGAGGGGTGAGCTGAACCTTCACCTAATTGGTTCAGCTGCTTTCAAGCGCTCTTGATAAGCTATTGATTGATACAGGGTGAGGTAGACAACCTTTCAAATTACTTGCTAACAGCTGATTTGAACTCCCTGGAATTTTTTCTTCAGAGCGTTCCTTACACCGACCTCACAGACACATCATTGGGAACATATTCCGTGAATAATAATATATACAAGAACCAGAGATATTCCCAATGTACGGCTGGAACATGATCTGAGGAGCAGATCCGGACTCACATATCTTATAGGCTGGTTGTGTGGGTCCAGCTCAGAAAGTCAGAAGCCATTCCACTTCAGTCCTCCCAAACAAGCATATTACTATTACTGAACTAAGCTTTACTGTAAAGCCTTTTTTTTTTTTTTTTTTGGCTGAACGAGCTATTTGAGCTTTGGTTTTTCACCAAGCATACGGATATGGTTCTTAATTTGTCAAGAAACTAATTAAAAGGACGACAAACCAACTAGAAATACTTCAGTTAATAGTTAACTCTAGATTGTTTAAAGTACTAATGATGAGGCTCTCTAGGTTTGGTCATACATTGAGACACAGGCAATGGGTTGGGGATGACTGGGCCTTACCTCTTATCAACTTGGCATTGGCATTGACTAATCCAATACCGACCCTACCTCAGTACTGTCCAGATTGAGAAGGTTAGACAGGTTGAACGTTAGGCAATCCACGCTTCAAACTATCCTGGGTTTCCTTGAATGATTCCCCTATCTCTGCCCGTTAACTATTGCTTTCTATGATCATTTTGGCATATTATTCGTATTCAGATTTCAGAACATTATCTCTGAATTTGGCACACTGCATGCGTGCACAGCGAACATCTCCCCATGATAAGTACGGAAAATGTTCCCAATCCAATTCACAGTTGGGATGTGTTGTAGGGTGTGCTCCATGAGAAGCCTCAACCTGAAGGACTTGGTATACTCTCTAAATCCTGAAATGCTAGGCCCACTCTACATGTTCTCTATCTAAACCAAGCAGGCCAATACGGTTTAGGTTTAACAGATCGATACAGACTGCTATGGATTTATTTTGAAACTCATTTCTTTCTTTTTTTTTTGGTTTTTTAAGCCAAACTCATTTCTTCTATACTTAGTATGATACAAAAAATTATATCAATGCTTGTACAGACGTATAAGAAATATCATATTTAGTGAACTTGATTTGAATATTTCTTTGTATCAAATAAATAAAATAAATATATTTGAAGGCTTTGGTGCTTATGTATAAATTATAAACGTACAATAAATATTTTGCACTAAATTTGGATGCATCGTGCATGAAAACTTGCAATAATGGGTTCATGCAAGGTTTAACATGTCTGACACATGTCATACAGTACCATACATATCGGCTTTTGAAGTCGCTGATTCTCAAAAAAAAAAAAAAAAAAAAATGCATGGTTTGATTGTTTTAGTAAGTAATGGCCATATCATAAATTTTGGTAGTTATTGCCAGAAAACAAGTAAAACGAAAGTTGAAATTCCAAGTTGGAAAATACGCTATACGATTTACATTGCACAAGTCGATGTTTTGAACCTTTGGGTTTATGTGCATTTTTAGTTTTATACACAAATGTAAATCATAGTTCTTTCATGACAGATAGGTTGATTACATATACGGTAGTACTCTGTTCCAAAGTTTAGTAACGAGCTCATGTTAAACATGAGCAAACCATATTAATCATCATTTGAAATGTTGTGGATATTTCAATTCAAAGCGATGATTTTCTTTCTCTACGTACATCAATAGTTATCTATCTGAGCAAGCTTTCTTTTCTTTTTTTTTTTTCTTCGTCCTTTTCTTGATAAATCTATCTGGACAAGTTGATGTTACATGAAACATTTGGAAGTACCTTAGCGTGTTATACTTAGAGTATGAATGTCAACTTTATGCCTGTGATTTCAATTTTCATCTGTTTTTGCTTTTTTTTTTCCTTTTCTTCCTTTTTACCTATTTGCTCATAGATTCCATTTGGTGAAAAATTCTTGCAGTTGCAGAGACAAAAATCATGAAGGTCGTACATAATATAAGAAACTGGTTCTAACTTCTAAGTTCTAATGGAGAGGCAGCTCTGTCTTGATCTAGTTACGATTGGTGTGATGCTTTTGTCTCCTGTCAAATGTAAGGAAAATTGGGTCAAGGAATGTTGGAGTGGAAACATGTAATTTCTCTACCCCGAGAGACTTCAGCTTGTAAATGGAACTTGTTTTATTGATCGATAAAAGCAAACCAAACCTTCTCTTGTTGTACACAAGAACATTTCAAATATGCTGCTCTTCGTGATAGCAATCTTCTTGAACCAAAATGGTCCATTATTTTGCTGCTTGATGAAACAAAAGAAGCCATTTCTTAAAAGAATCAACAACAAAGGGCTAAACACAAAAGATCGGTCAGATATAAGCTAATAACATAAGGTTAAATTCAAATTTACTACCATTTGTTGTTAGTGTTATTATAAAAAGATAGGCCTATTATTGATCAAAAAAAAAAAAAAAGATAGGCTTATTAGGTTGAACGACACCCATTTTTTTTCACGTCCAAGGATGGTATGGAAATTCAAACTGCCTATAAAATAGAAGAAATTGCTAGGTAAGCCATGTGGTAATTTAGCCGGTCATCAGCCTTATGTCAAACACTGGAGAGCTATGCTGAGCTGCTGCTTCTTTTCCTTTCTACTATTGCTCAAACATTTGTGATCTTAACTTTCTTTTTATGGAGCCCTCTCGAAGTAATATCAGCTATTCCAAGGTCAATGTTCTAAATCTTGAAACACAGCATAGGGATTTGAAAAGGCAATTTTTTAACATGCATGAATATAGTGGAAAAATTAAGAATATGCATGGATATGTTAAAGAAACTCCGATATATAAAAAAAGAATATATCAATTACAAAATAAAATAAAAATGTAAAGCTTTGATGACTATGAATGAGGTTAAACTTGATTAATCCACATCAATAATCACCAAAGAAAATTTTGGTGGGATAAGTAGCACCGAAAGGGCTCTAGCTTCAAGGAGAGAGAGAGAATTAATAAATCCCTCCTAGCCAAGTTAGTTTTTCTGAATAATGATCTTTAGGCTTTGTGCTCTCATATTTTGGGTTCAAAATATCTCCGTAGAAGTAGGCTATTTTCTACCTTAGTTTAAAGCATGGTCCAGCATGTAACTCTACTTTTAAAGCAAAGTTTTATATTGTTGAGGGTGGACAACTAAAATTAACTCATCCAACTCAACATCTCTAAGTAACATTCTTCTTCTCTTTGACCTCTTATTTCTTCTAAATTTTGTTTTATTTTACTTATTTCAATTTACAAGTTGGTGTCAGAACAGGAAAACTTTGTCTTCTTATTGCTCGAGTGGGCCTGAGTTTTTTACTCTGTATAAGTGACCAGGGGTTGAACTAAAGCCTAATTAAAGAAATCCTACTATTTGATGTATGGAGATTTTCGTAAGGTTAAGATGACATTCAAATGAAGTCTATGAACTTTCCTGCTATATTTTAACGGAAAAAAAAATGATCCTAGTGTTTTGATAATGGAGAACAGTGGCAGAGATGTATGCATATGAGACTGTTTTGAAAGATATTTTCTGATACTCTATTCCGCTAGTACCCTCAACACTCGTCCAATCCATTCTATTCTTCCACAGTTAATTTAGTATGCAATGGAACACTTATTCATTGAACATGTACTGGTAATTGGATAGTCTTTATTTTTTCCGTAAATAAATTCTAAATTTGAAGAGAAGATTATGCACATTTGAACTAACAATGGCTTGAAGAGGCACGAATGTGCATAAGCACACTTTTGAAGGGAGTAGTTCCAGTTTTTGTTTCCAAGAGTTGATTGTTCTAATTTTTTGTTTTCAAGTGTTGGAGAACATTCATAAACAAAACCAGTCTCTATTGCATTCTGTTCGTTTGATCGACTCATCATCTGTTTTTTATTTTTATTTTTTTCCTCATGTCTAGCCTATTACATTTAAAATAAAAAATGTGGCCTGGAGCACTTTTATTGGAGGTCACAAGGGTGTTGTCGTCGCAGACTCGCAGTTGGTCCCGGTTTTGCTTCCGCAAGGGATCTCCATGTGAATGGTGTTGAATTTGATTGTTCCTGCCTTCCTGGTTAATGTAAATTTGTATGTGCTGAGAGGTTTTCAGATAACTTTTGGCAAAATAACTGAAATAAGCCTAAATTGCCTTTTTTAATGAGTAAAAACAAAGTTTATTAATAACTGAAAGCTTTACAAACATCCCTTAAGGAGGCACGAGACGCCACCTCTCCCAAAAAAGCATATTACATTTGAACCCAATACAGACAATTTTTATTCAGCCAATCACCCCTAGCTAAAACATCCACCATTCAATTAGCTGATCTTCTCACCCACTATTTCTTCACATTCATGTTTCTGGTAAGCCATTTAAATTTCTTGATCTCATTCATATATCACCAAATTATAGAATATGGTTCTGTCAACCATCCCACCACCAGTTTTTGGTCCCCTTTAATCACTACATTTGAGAGACTTAGCTCACTTGCAATCTGTATGTCTTGTATTGCAGCAATCAATTCATCTCTAGCAAAATGACCCATCCCCAATGAGCCGAAGTATAAAGTAATAACATTACCTTTGGTATTTCTCGTTACTCCTCTTATACTAGGACCAGAATTACCTTGATTGCTTCCATCGAAGTTTAACTTCGAAAAGCATTTTGGACGAGGCGACCAAACCTGAATTAACCCTTTGCTTCATCTAGCCATCACTTCACAGCTTCTCCAAATTTCATCAGATGAAAACTGTGAAAGAGTCCAATGTTCTAATCCAGTGGATCACTCTGGCCAATACACAAACTCTTCTTTACTCCTCTCCTTTTCTGTGAAATTGCCTTTGTAACCTGGTAATATTTTACTAAAGTTGAACTAAGAGCAGTTTGAAGAATATTGAGATGTTGTGGATGCAATGTTACAATTCCTTGAGTTAAGGAGAATGTTGAAAGACCTTAATAATGCTTGCATTAGCCTTGCTCCTAAAAGAAAATGCCTAGACAGAATCTCTCAACTCTGCTCTACCAGTCTTTGCAAAACATCATATAAAATAATTGCAAAAAAAGTCCTTACAAATTGCTTGAAAGTTGAAACTTGCTTTGGATGGCCTAATTAGTCCTTACTATAGTTCTACTATTTTTTGACACAGGTAGGTTTCAGATAATATTTTACTAGCTTAGCTATTTATGAAAAAATAATTACTATCTTAGTAAATGTACCAAGTCTATGAACTTGTGGAATTAAAAATTAAACGAGGTTGTTTGTTCTATTCATTTTCTTTTCTTCCCCTTCCACCTTTCCACTGCTTTCATAGATCAATTTTTAATGCCTCTGTTGTAAAAAGTCGAATATTGTCTACCCAAATAAATAAATAAATAATGCACTGATGTATGCTTCTTCAGAGTTCAATATCAAATAGTAAACAATGGTGTACGATTGTTCATTTCAGGTTTCTATGCTTAGAACCAAGCATATGTAATTGTTTATTTCATAATCAATGCTAATTATTCAACAGAGTTATTTCACCAAAAAACTAACGAAGTTAAACTTTAGCATTTTCTTTATTGCATACTAATAGAAGGGTACGTGTTATGCACTTGTGCAGGGTGCATAGTAAAAAGATGAAAAGACATTAAAATTTTAAAGATTTGTTAACTATACTTTTTAAGGATTCAAAGATTAAAATATTTGTACAACTATTGTTTGTATACATTATTATTATAGGATCCTATTTATAATATTCTGATTTTTTATGGCCTGGACATGAAGTCAGGGCAAGCTTACAAACCCTCTATGGTTGGGACAAAGCTTAGATGATGATGATCATCATCATGATCATGATGATCATGCTTTGCTAAACAATGACCTCTTCTTTTATGGTAAAATGTCAAATTGAAAAGAATGAAACACAGGTACAAGTTGATCAAGGTGACACAATACTGAAATGCTTATTGGGCCATAGGTCAAACGGTTTTGAAATTTATAACACGTGTAAGAGGTGGCTAGATGGCTAGTTCCTTGATTTTTGACACAAGTCAGGGTTCGGGTCTTACAACTAACATATTATTTATAATATATGCATATTTAATCAATATGCATACATATGACCACAATATGCATACATCATAGATTAATTGTAATTATCAAAAAAAACCATAGATTAATTGTGAAAACTGGCTGTGTTGGTGGAAGCTGGTCGATTTTCAATGGTTCCACCACATTTTGGTGGAATACTAAAAAACTGGAATGACTTTTGGTTCCCAGGTTTTACGGCCCAACTGTCCAGCCCAATCCAAGTCAAATTGACCGGTGTCACTTTTTGAGGCTTTCAGCATGTGGCACAGGTGGAATGACCAAAACTCCATTCCACCCATATCATAGTATTTGCCCATACTCACATAATATATCTAACAATATAGACCCAATACCTAAGGGTGCAAGTTGGGTCAGGTTAGGTGAGGTTGAGATCAATCCAGACCCAACCCGAGTTAACCCTCCAGTTGGCCAAACTTCTCTACTTCCTTTTTCCAAATGCTCTTATTTCGAAACTCAATGGCTGAGATCAATTCAGTTTTAGCATTACTATATGTAGAAGAACAGAGTTATCATGCTTTTAAAAAAGTGTCGATAAACTTAAACCTGTAGACATACAAATATACATACAAACATATAGATAAATACATAGTACTTAACATAAATATATGTTTACATATGAATATGAAGCTAAGTTGGGCTCAGGTTGGTCAAGGCCTCAACCCTAACCCAACCAAAAATTACGTCAACTTCACACTTTTAAACCCTAACTCTAATCCAAACTTCAACACAACCAACTTTTTTCTGGTTGGGTTCAGGATAACACGACCCAACTTGCAACCCTACCAATATCAACATAGTGGGTGTTCCATCTCTCACTCAAATAAACTGTCATTAATTCCTATATTCAAAACTGTCATTATTTCTAGAGGAATATGAGGTGTACGCTTCCTTTACACTTTATACAAGAGGCTTACACCTCTTATGCTTTTGTATTTATGCCACTTTTTTATAATAAAATGCTATAGATATATGTGGGGTAACCATTTTATCGTGTTTCCCCATTATATATTAACATAATCCAGAAAATGATTACCAAAAAAACATAATCAAAGGATGAAAACCCTTCAAATTTGTTTAATATAAGTATTATGAAAATTCCATAGTATGTATTTTGTGGCTCCATACACCCGTCAAGCTGTCACAGTCAAAAATAGGCTCAGTCTATCTATGCTTTGTAGGCTGCATTGAGTGGCATTATCATAAATTCTGCAATATGACTTTTTGGCTATTCTTCACACAAAGTTTGAAAAGCTTAGTGTCCTCTTTGAGGAGGGGTGATAGATCTCCTCGTGTGCCTACCCATGGCACTCACAAAGATCACACATCCCCTCACAAGGTGGCCCTAGTTAATGGCAACATGACTACCAGGGTTCTTCATGGGCATACACATGCTCATGGGGACAGTGCATGGGTTGGTACTACACCTTGTGCATAAAAGGGAGGCTTGGCATGAGGGTTGGCCATATTCGTGCCCCAGCTTTGTCAACTCCACGTCCAGGCAGATCAAGCTATCCCCTGTCCCAGAGTTTGGGTGTATTCTAGGCCCATTGGTAGTTTAGCTCATCATTGGAACTATCCCCCTTTGGGCCCACAAGTGGTGCCTCCCATGGAACAACCTGAGCTAGAGAAGTCACCCCATCCATGTGCAATGACATAATGATCCAGTGCCGCTGACCTTGATGGAGCCATCAATGGGCCTACACTTGGTCCTTACAACACAAAGGCTTGTTCTGGCCACCCAAGCTTGGACGTCACATGGTCTTCTTTCACTACCAATGCCTAACCTTGTGACAGATGGTATTAGAGACACAGGTGGCACTCAATCCAAACAACAAAGCCACTTCGAGGGTAACAGCATACAACCAGTCTAAAGCAGCACATCATCAGCAATAACAAATGTGGGGTGTGATCCATTTACACTCACTCATTGGGTTCGAGTCGAGGTGGCAACTGGACGGGTTTGGGTTGAGCATCAACCCAACCCGTCCAACCCACTGACCCATTAATGACCCGTTTAGAGAAAATTAAATGGGTTGGGCTCAACCCCAACCAGCCTTGACCCAACCCAACCTGTCTGCCCCATTAATCCTATACATACATAAATTACATAAAATATAAAATAAATTGCAGAAAATACAAAATTATAGAAAACACAAAAAATGCAAAAGAACAAAAATTACAGGAAGCATAATAAAATTACAAACAAACATATAAAATAAAAAAACAAAAAACTGCAAGAAAAATACAAAAAAAATATATAAAACACAGAAAATGAAAAAAAAACTAACAGAAATTAGAGAAATGTATAACAGAAATCATAAACAAACTTAGAAAATGAAAAGCAAACCAAAAATTACTGAAAAATATAACACAAATTATAAAAAAGAAAATGAAAAAATAAATAAAATTTAAGGAAATTACAACTATTAACTAAGGTTTGCTCTTTCGACGTGACTGCAACTATTAACTAAGGTGTGTTTTTTCGGCATGACTGCAACTATTAACTAATAGACATGCCATGAGTGGTGCTGAAAGTTCCTCCTCTGATGCCAATAATTTTGCTACAATCGCCACCACACAACATCAAATTCATTCCCATGTTCCCTGCTCCCCAATTTTCAGCTGCCTTTTCCAAGTAGCAATACTTTGTCTTCTTCAAATTAACTTAAAAAAAAATTATTAAATCTGATTAAAAAACATTCTAATAAAAATTTGAGCTTTCAAACATGAGGTTTTGTAGGACAATGATTGTTACAATGAAGCATATATTTAATTTCAGAATGTTGGGCATAGTGTGATTAGTGATGATGGAAGTCAAGCGATGTCCTTTGCAAGGACTCTGAACCATTGAGACTGAGACATTGGAGGGATATTTTCTGGTTAGGAATATTCATTGTGCATTTGATCAGACTAGGCTTTGGTCTTGCCATTCTTGGAATCAATAGATTTAAGAAAGCACATAGGCTTAACATTGACAGGTACATAGACAGGATACTTGACAATCAGGCTGGATTTACTGAGATATTGGCCCTTGTATGTTGTGGCCAGATTGGAAACTTTCCGTTACAGGAAATTTAATGTTTTGATGCAAAAATGGAAAAAAATCAAGGTGTACTTCTCCCCTCTGTTTTTTGCTTCTTTTCATTGCTTGGTATCTGGTCTTGCTTTAATAAGAAAACTCTGTCACTTGGTTCAAAGTAATGAACCAGAGGGGGGGGGGGTAGAAAACCTGAAATAGCAAATTAATGGGTTACCTGTTGGATAACCATGACCCAACCCATTAAATATCTTTTTATTAGGCTAACCCACTCACTAGTGATCCAAAACTAAATGGATACAGCCCAACCCAATAATTAATGGGTGGGTTGGGCAGGTTAACAGGTTGGATCGAAAAATTGCCACCCCTAGGTTCAAGTAGGCATGAAGAACTAGCCTGGCAAGAGGCTCTATCTTGAATCCCAATTCCAATGGCCCTATCAATAGACAATTAGACATATGAGCCATTTTCATTCTGCTTGTGTGAGGGCAAATATATGAATCATTTTCACTCGGAAGGCATATTGTAGTGATTTGAGTGGAAGAGTATGTAATGCATGGCTCCTAGATCATGGTTTTATAACAGATGAGTCATTGTTCTATAACCTTGCAAAGACACCATTGGAGTGGGGATGATGGTCCAAAATGGGTTTGTGTTGATGACTGGCCAAAGAATATTACCAAGATGGTGACATTAGCTCCAAAAGGATCCGAAGATCGAAACCATAAATATTGGAATAATAGGAATGTGGGTACATTTAATTGGTGTATGGCAGCAAAGGAACATGATCATGCATTGGTAGACATGCTTAGTACATAGGTAGAACGTCCATGTGCAAGGACGTCAACAACATTTCAACCAGTGCATGATACAGAACTATGGGTAAAAGTTGCCAAGACATAGTACAGAATGCAGTCAAGACCTTGAAGCAAAAGTAAAATTGGCCCCCTTTGAAGCGAATCATAGCCCAACACAAAGGTGGTTGTAGTCTCTCAAGGGACACAAAACACAGTGGTCATAGCCATAGTGTGGTTTGAGTAACCCCAATACAAAGAGTAAAATCCGGCATACCATCATGGTGAAATGATTTCTCAAGACATGGATGTCAACAACAGATAAAGACCAGTCCGGCATATTCAATAGCACCATCAAAAAGCTATTGTCACATGGATTAGGCCTTGATGGCAAACAAAGATGAATAACCTCTACAAAGCAATAAAGACACACATGTTTCGAGGGCCATCACACATCATAGCCACAACACTGTTTGAGTAACCCTAGCCTCAGAGGGTGAAGTCCAAGTAGGCCAGTGTGGGGAAATGTTTCATCCCAAACACAGCCAACATGAGCGAGTCCTACGTTGATTAAATAACCTTGACTGCAATAGGAGCAGCTAAATTTTGAAGTACACATGGATATGGCAAAAACAGATGCCCATTCACTGGCCTAGCCATGTCGAGTACAACAATGGATTGTGTGGGGGAGCCTGTCATGGTGTAAAACAAACTTAGTCTACCTATGCTTGGTGGCCTATGTTGAGTTGCATTATCATAAATTCTACATTTTGATTTTTCGGCATCCTTGATGTATTTTCACTCAAAGTCAAAAAAAGCTAAGTGTCCTCTTTGAGGAGGGGTAGACAACCACCTCGGGTGACTATCCTTGGCATTCCAGAAGACCACACATCCCCTCACAAGGCAGCCCTAGTTAATGGCTACTGTGGATCCTCATGGACATACACACACACTCATGGGGATAATGCATGGACTGGCACTACATCTTGTGCATGAGAAGAAGTCACCTCATGGACATAACCATATCCGTGCCCCATCATTGCCAACCCCATGTCTAGACAAAGCAAGCTATCCCTTGCCATAGAGCTTAGGTGTGTTCAAGGCCCAACAATTGCTTAGCATAGTCATTGTCAAAACAGCACCCTTTGGCTTTGGCATGTAAAAGATGCCTTCCATGGAACAACCTAAGTTAATAAAGTCACCTCGCCCATGTGCAATGAGGTCATAATCTAGTGCCACTGACCTAGGTGGAGCCATCAAAGGGACTACACTTGGCCGTTATAACACAGAATGCTTGTCCCAGCCACCCAGGCTAGGACACCACTGGTTTATTCCGCTACCAAAGTCTAACCTCATGACAGGGGGTACATGTCCCCCACGTGTAAAACATCCACACAAGACTTACGTGTATGCCTCCCTGTGAGGACCATACCTATTGCATCTAAACTACGTGTCACACCTCTACGTTTCAAAACATTGACCAGAATCTAGGTAGGGATGGCAATTTTCCCCATTTCCCCGATCCCCATGGGGATCCGCCCCGAATGGGGTGGGGATGGGGATGATTTTCCCCCGCGGGGACGGGGATGGGGAAATTTTCATCCCCGTTAGCAGGGACGGGGCAGGGACGGGGAGAGCACTCCCCGCTCCGCGGGGACACCGATCCCTGCCCCGTGGGATCCCCACTAATATATATGTATATATGTATGCATACGTTATATATGTATATATGTACTCATACATCTATATATTAATATTTTTAAAAATATGGTTGAATCTTTTCTAATAGGATTGTAAGTTTTAATTATTTTAATTTTATTTTTTTAAATAAAAAAAAAAACAAAATGGTTAACATTATAAATCACGAGGAATAGAGATCACGGGGATGGGGATTTTCGTGGGAATTACATCATGCTTTACCTAGTTGTCATAATTGCATAAGCTTTGGATTTTAAACTTTAGACATTGTCTCTTCTTGGAGGATGTCTATCAAAAAATTTAAGAAAATTAATTGATTATTAAAATTTATAAATTATAAACATTAACAAAAAATAATATTATTTTCTAGGGATTAAGATACATATTCATAAACTATAAAATCTTCTATGTATATACCCTATTTATATCATCCAAGACTCCAATTATTGATAAAAAAGACTCCAGTCTAGTGTTCAAAACGTATCCTGTCACATATATTAAAATTGAATATCTGATACTCTTTGTGTTACTGATACTTTAAACCATGCAGAATATGTGAATGACTAAGAAATCTAGGTATAGAACCTCACCCCTGCCAAAGGTTGGGTGAGGTTCGCATCAAGTTCACCCCTACCAAGAATCCATATAGCCGGGACCAACATTGAGTAAACCTGTAAAAGCCTTCAATGTTCTTTAATGGGTAGATGTACCTTTGGGAACTGAGATTCTTATAAGACCGCTCACAGTCAACCACACTTATAAGAAGACAATATCAGTTGCTTAAAATAGCAACACCATCAAGAACAAATGTGAACTATAGACCCCCCCCCAATAATAAATTAATTAATTAATACAAAAAACAAAATAATCATGAAAAAGTGAAAAAAAAAAGAACAAAAGTTAAAGATATCTACATTTTTTATTATTACCAACAAGGAGATATCTACATTTTAAAGAGATACAACAGGCATGCATGAAATTAGCAGAAAAGAAAACTTTAGAGGTTAAGAAAGCCTTCACCTCTTCTCACCACTAAAGATGTGAATGGAGTTCAGTTACCTTATCTCACTCTTGGGCCTCCCTTTGTCCAAATGTTCCTATATTTATCCTTAAGGTCAACTGGGGTACGAGTTTTATGAAAGACATGGCAGCCAAATTCCAGGATCTTTTTCCATGGAAAACCTTTCCCATCAGTACTTGAAAATCGCTTAACTCCTTCCTGCAAAATTGAAAGCACTCACTGAGATAAACTGACAATTAGCCAAAACACAAGGAAAAAGGATATGCCAAAATCTGGATGATACAACCATACACCCAGCTGGCTAACCACACTATGTTTTCATAAACCAATAGTCTTTCCAAAGCCTCCTAAAAAATATTAGTCATCCAACCAGGTCTGACAGAAAACAACAAAATGATCATGCAACCAAAGTTGGTATCCATGAATTCATACCAGCAGTATTTCCTCCTCTTCAGCTGTCCAAGGATTTTTCGTTCTCCTTAAAGAAGGAAATCTGCAAATCAGCACAAATAAAAAGCTTAGTGGCAGCTGCTACTTACAAGCTTAAAGAAGAAAGCCTGCAAATTAGCACAATTATAATTCAAGCATTATAATTGTTAACCCTTTAGGGTTTCTGCATATGGAAATGCACGCAGTTTGGGTGGAATCAGAGAGCAGACTGCTACTTACTTGGGGCTAATTGGCTTCTGATCTCTGCTGGAGTCATTAGAGGAAATATCATCTTCTTCAGCTTCAGAAGTTTCTTTTGTGGTAATATTTGGTCGAGAAGAGAATTTACCTTGTAAAACTTGTCTTCTAGTTCGTACTCCAGCAAGTCTCTGACTTAATGGCACCATCTCCCTGCGTCTACAGGGTGAATTTTTAGATTTATGCTTCAAATCAGCTTCAACCTGTTTATTATTTTCTTCTCTCCAATCTACAGATTGATGTTTTTCAATCACAACTGCCTTTTCTTTGGTCAAGGAAATATCAGATATCTCATTCATTGCAAATGCTTCTCCATCTCTCACTTGTAAGTCATTACCACTGCATGCATTAGAATAACTTTTGGTCAGATGACATTCCATCACTAAATTATTGTGATTGTCATCAACTTGTTTTGAATCGTCTCCTTCAGTTAGGAAAATATCATTTTTCTCATGGACAGGAGGTGCCTTTCCTCCTTCACAGGGAATATATCCATTTTTATATTCAATAGAATCATTTGCTGCTTCTTGATGTTCCATTGCTTGCACAGATTGCTTATGAATTATCTCTGTCTGATGCTTATTGTCAGGAATATTACGAGGAAAGCCCACTTCTCCAAATCTTCTTGATTGGGTTTCCTCATAATGAATATTTTCAAATTGTTTCTTCAGCTGTTGTTCATTCTTCTCACCTGTAAAGGCAGCAAAAGACTTCCTTGCCAGGGAAATTTTTTTCTTGGCATCATGATATGCAACAATTGCTTCTGCATAAAAGCAAAAGGGACAGTAGAAATTACCATTATTGTCAAAACTTGCTGGGGAGCCCAAACAACACTCATGGACAGCCAATTGGCAATTAGTGGCACAACAAATCAATAATTGGCCACCCCTGTTACACTTATTACAACGTCTCTGTTCTATCCGATCTAATGTGGCCTGAGAATCATGATTGGACGTGCTTTGAAAACTCAAAAATCTATATTTCTTCATTGCTATGACTATTTTGTCCTTCAAATCAAATAAAGCAACTTTATCATGATTGGCATCACTGCAACTATGTGTTTCAACATGATTCAGATTTTCATCTTTGGTTACAACATTAATTTGGTGGGAACCATTCAGACATGCTTCTAGAGGAATTTTATTACCCGGGGACAGATCGTGTGTGTTTTCATCATTATCACTACTTTGCTTCTGTAGGGAAGCATTCTCACAATCATCCTGGAAAATTACAGTTTGTACCATACCATGCACTTGAGTTTCTTTTTCTAATATACCTTTCTCCGCTGATATTAAAAATTTACCGGGAGGATCTTTTTGTACATGTTCATTTTCATACAAAGAACCTGAGTTCTGCTCAATAGACTTGATTTGACCATCTTTGGATTCCTTAAGGCTGTTAGTATTGGCATGACAATCTTCACCATCCACACAAATTCTGCTTTTGTCAGAACAGGGTGCTTGCCCTTCTCTAGAGAGTGCACTCTCCCCCTTTCCACCAATTATACTATCCAAAGCATTGTCATGTAATGTTTCGTTCCTAATTTTGGGTGACAGAGAGCCTGGCCTTGGATCTAGTGACTGGTCTTCACTGGCCTTTATACTCAATTTAGGTCTCTTAGTTGCACGATAGTTGACATCATTAAAGCAAATTGGCTTTTCGGTTAAACATGTTGAGACCTTTTCCTTTGCCATTTCAACTGAGTTCTCTTTTAGTGCCTGGATTGCATCATCACTAGTGTCATGACCCTTTGTAGCTTCATTGAAATCATTGTCATCGCAATGAATTCTTTTCTCATCCTTTTCATCCAAGCATGTCAACAGTTTTCCATTGGCCATTTCAATTAAGCTTTCTTTTGGTGACTCGATTGCAACATCATCATTGTCATTCTGCTTTGCATCTTCATTAAGATCACCACCACCCAAATGAATCCTACCCTTATCCTTTTCACCTGAACATGTCACTGCTTTTTCCTCTCCCATTTCAACTGAGCTCTCTCTTGGCGCCTGGTTCATAACATCACTACTAGTGTGCATCTTCGCATCAATATTTTCTTTGTCCAATCCACTCCTTGTCCTCAAGGATGCAGCTAATGGATGAGTACTTTCAACTATTGCATCCTTCAGCTGATTGCAAACAATACCACGTAAGAATCTCTGGTTGATCTGCAAACAAGTACTTCTCTTTCCATTGAATACAGAAATAACAAAGATAATATTACCTTTTCCAGAACACATTTAGGCAAGCTAGCACTTTTCTGGGAAATAAACTCTTGAACTTCCTGCTTCAACATCTCTAACCTGGACTTTACCAAGCTGGATTTTGAGGACTGATGATAGATAATAACAATCAATATGAGAAAAGTGACCTCTTAAAGAAAAAGAAAAAATAGATTTAATTGAGTGAATGGTAAAAGTCTGGTAAATGATAAAATAATTACTAGGAAATATTAGAAAGATATTGATCCAAAAAAAATATATTGGAAAGTCCTCCCATAAAATAATAAAAAAGAGTATTCAGGAGAGATGGACATACTGTGAGTTTACTCACTGGGTTTGGCTAAGACTGCTGGAATTGTTTGGTGTTAAGTTATGCTTTCCAGCTGATGTGAAGGGATTCATAGGAGCATGGTTCCTAGGAGGATTAAGCAGGGCTGGAAAGGTAGCATAGAGCATCCTCCTCTCAGCAGTGTTCTAGGCAGTGTGGGGTGAAAGAAATGGTAGAATCTTCGAAGGGAGTCAGACCTCAAAGGAAGAGGTCCTTAACAAAATTCTGGGGATGGTTCACTCATGATTGGAAAATTACCCTTTATTTAGAAACAGACATTCTTTTTCTTTTTTCGATTTTGATTTACATTTTGTAAGGAGTGAATAGTTTTGTGTTTTGGGGGTTTGGCTGTATTGGGCAGGATTGCACATCCTCTGTTCAGTTTCTCATTGTACAGGGGCTTTATTGCATTTTGGCATTTTGATATTAATGAAATACTTTACACAGTTTCAAAAAAAAAAAAAGGTAAACTTTATTAGAGAGAAAGGAAAAGGAATAGCAGGGTGACAAGGAATCACCCAGCAATAGCAGACCCAAAAACAACAGACACACCCTAACAAAACCCCTAAAAACAGAGAAAAAACTTATAGACATACCAAAGCTCCTAAGGAAACAAACCCATATCCAAATACAAAAATCACAACAACAAGGTCCCTCCCACCAACCCCTAAAACAAACTAAAGCACACAATAGACTGAATATCCCAGAAACCCAAATCCTGCCAGAAGATACATGTGAAAGACATCCTGGAACCAAACAATCCAGCTGATGAAAAGTTTCACTTAAACTTCATCCATTTTCTCATCTACTGTCTAATATAGAAATCTCTTGTCTCATTTGGGTAACTTTCTTTATCTTTCTCCCTTTCTTTTTTAATCTCACTCCGTATACTGCCATCTTCAATCTGGCAAAAACATGTGAAATTTGTCTCTTTTGATTGTTTTTCTGTTTTCTAAATCTTCTTACTGCATTAGGGCTGTGAAATAAAGGGGAGGTAGAGAAAGAGGTAGAGAATGAGAGCGCAGTTGGAAATATGCAGACAGGGGAGGTAGAGAAAGAGGTGAGTAATGAAGAAGACGAGGGAGGAGGATCAAATGAAACTGATAAGGAGGACTTGGTTGCACAGTTTGCTGAGCAAATGGGCTGTGAAATAAAGGATCCAAATGAGTTAAAGGTATTTTTGAAGAAAGGAAAGGTAGAGAGTAAACCAAGGAAGAGGAAGTTGAGTGAGTCAAAAAGGCTAAGGCAAGATGTAGAAGAAGATAAGGAGTTCAGTGAGAGAAAGGGTAGAAGAAGAGGGATCAACTGAAAAGAGGACAGGTAAGGGTTTTTTTAGACAGTGGTGATAAAGATTCTCAATTGGAATGTTAGGGGGTTAGGGAGAGCTAGGAAAAGGCCTTTAATAAAAATAAGTAATAAGAAGAGAGGATCCGGACATGGTGCCGATTCAAGAGTCTAAGCTGATGGAGTTTGATAGGAGATGGACTAGATCGGTGTGGAAAGTAATGGGCATCAACTGGGCTATTTGTCCTTCGTGGGGGAAGGTCAAGAGGTTCAGTGACAGTGTGGAAAGAAGAGGTTTTTGAGGGAGTGGAGGAGCTGATTGGCAAGTTTATTGTTTCTATCAAGTTTAGACACAGGGTAGATGGATTTGAGTGGGTATTAACCAATGTGTATGGTCAAACTGGTTATAGAGAAAGAAGTGAACTTTGGGAGGAATTGGGAGACATTAGGGGACTCTGGGAAGGCCCTTGATGTTTAGGAAGAGCTTTTAATGTCATTAGATTCACATAGGAGACTAATAGGGTGAGGAGAGGCAGTAGCATTAGCATGAGAAGGTTTAACAGCTTTACAAACAATTTTGAGTTGAAAGAGGTTCCTCTGCTACATGGTCTGTTTACTTGATCCAATCTCCAAGAAAACCCTATATGCTCTAAGTTGCATAGATTTGTACTCACAACAGATTGGAAGGAGCACTAGGGGACTGTTATTTCTAGAGCATTGCCTAGGGTAACATCAAATCATTGGCCTAGTACCTTAACGAGAGAGGATCTTAGTACTAAAGGGCCCACTCCTTTAGATTTGAGAGCATGTGGCTGTCTCTCCGTGGGTTTATTGAGTTGGTGGAGAATTGGTAGTGACACTAACCCAAATGCTATTTGGGAGGGGATGAAATTTCATTGGAAGTTGGAGTTAAAAAGCAATTAAAACTATAAAATATCTTCTTAAAAAGCAATTAAAACTATAAAATCATTATTTTTTGTGTGAAAACTAAGAATTTTTAAGACCTTAACGTGGACTTGTTTGGGCTTGCCTTGAGGGGTGTGGCACGAGGATCTGGGGGCAAAGCCCCCGGTCCAGCCGCCAGACTCAAAAAAGCGTCAAATTTTCAAAAGGGGCACACCTGGGTTGAGGCGCAATAGGCGTGCACCTTTTGAAAGGGTTGCGCCTAGGACCTGGGCGAGGCGCCTACCCTAAAATGTGCTATCGCCTGTGCGCCTAGGCATGCCTTTTAAATCATTGGTCGGATCCCTCTAAGAGAGATAAGAGACTGTGGACCCTAACTCCCTCTGGAACCATCTCTTGTGCCTCCTTCAAGTCCCTACTGCCTTCATCCAGTCGATTTGCACAAATTTCTAAATAAGGATGTTTAGGGAGAACCAATTCCTCCAAGGATTGGAGCCTTTTGTTGGGAAGCCTTCCTCGAAAGATGTAATACTTGTGACGTACTCCAAAGAAAAAGGCCTTTTTGGTGCTTGTCTCCGAATTGGTGCATTCTTTGCAAGGCTAATGGTGAAAGCTCCTACCACTTATTAGTTTCTTGCCCATTTGCTGCTAATCTTTAGGAATGGTTTCTTTCCTCTTTTGGTTGCAAACATATTTTTCAAGGCGCCAAGGCAAGGCTAGGCAACAGGGGCGCCTTGTCCCTTGGGCGATGGATTTTTTAAGTAAAAACATGTATCCTAGGGTAGTTCCCTAGGTTCCATTGCCATATTTCCTTAATAAATATCCATAATTTTCATAATAAAAGTATAAACTTCATATTAAAAGTATAGAAAATCAACATATTCATGAGAAGAAAAAGAAGAAAGAAAAGAAAATTCAAAAAATATAAGGGCTGAACCCCTATTTCTGTTATAGGAAAAGAAGAAAAGAAAAGGTGGAAGAAGAAGAAGAAATTAGTATATAAACACACAAAATTAGTAAAGAAAAAGAAGAAAATGTGTTGATTGGGCAGCATTTTATGTTCTTCCATACTTATTGGTTCAGGTTTTGAAGTCCTTGAGGGTTTGATACAGCATTTAGCAATGTTTGTGTTGATTAAACCCTAAAAAATAAGAAAATAATAAAAGGAAATTAGTATATAAGCACACAAAATGAATATTTTAGTTTAAAAATGTCTATTTTATAATTATAACCTCAAAAAATTAAGAATATAAAAGTTTTTTATAACACGCTATAGAAAACTACTTGGTGATTAGGCAAGGTGAGCCTCCAAGGATGCCTTGTCGCCTAGGCATCACATTGACAACTATGGTTGCAAGTGGACCCCACCGCCAAACATTCAAAGTTTGTTTAGCCCATCGTTCTTTGGTTGGCCAAACAAAAGGGAAGGATAGTGTAGAGATGTGTGAGGGCTGTTGTTTGCTGGACTCTTTGGGAGGAAAGGAACACCAGATTTTTTTCTGATGTTGGAAGAAGTAAAGAAAGCTTTATTGAAGTAGTAACAGTGAGGGTGGTACACTGGCTGAAATCCTTGGACCTGTTTGTTGATATTCTGATGGATATGTTGCTGAATAGCTGGCTAGAGGTGCCAAATTCTGCTCTTGTCCGCTCTTTAGTTTGTCCTGTGTGGTCACCACCAAGAAGTGGACTAATAAAGCTAAACTTTGATGGAAGTAGTGAGGGAAATCCATGTCCATCAGGTGTAGGAAGGGTTTTCAGAGATGAGGATGGGAAGGTTCTCGCTTTGTATCCAGGTCCCATTGGGGTTGGAGACTCTCTTAAAGCTGAGGTCTATGCAGTACTGAAGGGTATAAGGAAGTCTAAGGAACTAAATATACAAAAGTTAGTCATTGAAGGAGAATCAAAACTGGTCTTAAGTTGGTTACAAAAAGGTAGTGGACTTTGGAAATTTGCTAATGAGAGGACTGAGGAGGGAGATTAAATGGCTAACTAGAGGACTGGAAATCAAGTTTCAATGGGTCAAGAGAACAACAAATGCATTTAATGATGCTTTGGCAAAGCAGGGGGTGGGAAGGGATCAAATGTTTTGGACTGTTTATCTCTCTCTGGAGTGTTGTAACTAAATTCTTTTAATCTAATGAATTCCAGTTATTGATCAGAAAAAAAAAAAAAAAAAACTTCTAACCCATCTCTTGTCAAACTCTACTAGTCTAGTCTACTGTAACATCACAATGTCTGGTTTTTCTCTTCCCAAAAGGTCCTTGATCAACCTTCTCTTCCTTGCACTATCTAATCCCCTCACATTCCAATTGAAAATTTTCATGGTAATTATGTGATGACAGCCCCTCAAAGGTATAGTTCCCAACTTAGGGACCTTCCTTCTTTCCCCCCTTCCATTGAATTCAATATCTCCCTCTATGTCTGAAAGCAATCTCTCTAGCTCTGATCTGTTCTTTTTCCTCCAGTTTTTTCCATCTCAGGTTTGCTAGCACTCACTCTAGGCTCTCTCAGGTCCTCAATCTTTGCTAGGTTTTCCTCCCGAAGTTCTTATGCATTCTTATAATCCTCAAGAAGGGTACTGATTTGTTCTTAGAT